AAACTTTCTTTTCTGACTTAAGCCCAAATACTTGAATCTACCAAGTTAAATGGTTGAATGGTGTGATAAGTTACTACCCACATTTAATTAAAAAAATAAAAAACCATCTCTCCAACTTATATTAAAATCTGGACTAGTAAGATTTCCTGAAATTTAGCCTGCAGTATATACTTAAATATAGTAATAATGTGCACAACTGAATCAACTAAATGGGAAGTAGGGAAATTCCTTGGTGGCCTAGTGGTTATGATTCCAGGCTTTCTCACTGGCATGGCCTGGGTTCAACCCCTTGTCAGGGGAACGGATATGGCGCAAGCTGCAATATATGGCCCAAAAATAGTGGGGGAGGGAGTAAGTAGTAAATACAATTTCAAGTTTTGAAAAGACTGAGCAAGAACTCTCCTTTATTTCTATTTTACAAGACCCTTCCTCACCCTCTGCACAGATGTGAAAATACTTACATGGACAAGTTAGGAGATGGAACCCCCCTATCATCAGCTAGGTTCCCAAGGTGGCTCAGCGTTGAAGTCGAACTGTTCTCTATACAGCACTTCTCCTAGGCCCTCTGGGTAGTTGTATACTTGGTCAGAAAGTTCGCCCTAAAGAAGAAAATAAAAAGATATAAGTCATATGCTAAAAAATGGTAGGTTGTGCTTCAGGAAGGTTAAGTTGATGCAAAGATTAAGTTCAGGAAGAAGTTTCAGTTTGAACTGTTTCATTAAAGCACATTACACAAAATGATGTTTTCAAAGGGTTTATCATGGTATCAAATACTGTTTTTATATAGTAAGCATTTCCAAGCTGCAAGAATACATAACTGACAGAATTTGAGGTCATGGTCACCTTACCAAGTTGCTCTATCTACCTCAATCAGTTTCCAGGCTTCACCCAATTCCATTTTTGTTTTTACTTACTCTAAAACCCAAATTTCTCAGAGGCCTAAAATTTTTAAATGTCCAAGTGCTCTCACTAACCTAACATGTATGCAAGATTTTATATGTGTATCTAATAATCTGAAACTAACCAGAACCTTTCTTTTAATCTCCAAATTCCAAGTTTTTCTTTGCTTAAGTATAAAATCCTACTACATATTAAAAAGAAAAGCATATTTTGTGCCTTAGCTAATACACTATGTATACATGTGAAATAACTTTTGAGACCTGCCTAACATATCTGACAAGTAACAGAGGTTTACCTCCTTCTTATTCCTAACCTATCTACATCCAAGTCACTCTACTATCACTAGAAACAACATATGAATGTAAACATGTTTCACACTCTACAAAATGATAAGTTAAGCTTTAGAAATGGTTTTTATCTATTAAGATTTGACTGAACAGACTTATCAACTCTAACCTAAACAATTAAACCTACACTTCTACTTGTATTTCAGTGATTGCTATTTTAAAGTAATACAACCTGACAGTATTTCCAGAAGATAGGGGGTAAGAATGAAAACAGAATAATGATGAAACGTAGGAATAAAATAAAAAAAAATATGGGGGGGGGCGGTGGAGAAGATACAGGGAACACTAAATCTGTGTCATTTAGAGTGGTGTTTATATCAGTTGGATCATGTACAACACTGTAATCAAATCTCTTATCTTGGCAAATAGCATAGAGAGAACTAGAGTTAACTGAGTCAGCAGCTGACCAATAAAAAGCACCAGAAACCTCCCATCACTTTGACAGTAACTACCCAGAAACTTAGTATCCCCAAAGTTATCAGTATGTCTCACCTTACACTGCCTTTATCAATGACTTTGGTATTCTTTCCAAAACTCCAAAACCCCAGCCTAATCATGAGAAAAATTATCAAACAAATCCAAATGGGGGACATTTTATTGGATATTTGGCTGGTAATTCTCTAGATTGTCAAAGACACGACAACTAAATGCAATGTGGCACCTTAGACTGGACCCTAGACAAAAAGGACATTAAAAACTGGTGAAATCCAAAGAAAATCTGGAGTTTAGGTGGTAGGCATCCAGTCCCATCACTTCATGGCAAACAGATGGGGAAACAGTGGCACACTTTTTTTGGAGGGCTCCAAAATCACTGCAGATGGTGACTGCAGCCATGAAATTAAAAGACGCTTACTCCTTGGAAGGAAAGCTTTGACCAACCTAGACAGCTTATTAAAAAGCAGAGATGTTACTTTGCCAACAAAGGTCTGTCTAGTCAAGGCTATGGTTTTTCCAGTAGTCATGTATGGATGTGAGAATTGGACTATAAAGAANATATCATGGGGCCTTTAACAGTGCGCCAGACCTTTTCAGGTTGCCGAATCAGTAGCTTAGCCTAAGAAACACACGTTTTCCAAATACACACTGTATAAGGCTGTTAAAACACCACCGTTGGTGGAAATTGTCAGCCGCTCAGTCGTGTCCGACTCTGTGCGACCCCATAGACGGCAGCCCACTAGGCTCCTCTGTCCCTGGGATTCTCCAGGCAAAAGTACTGGAGTTGGTTGCCATTTCCTTCTCCATCCATAATAACTAATCTATGGTTAATAAAAAGAACAGTGACTGCCTTTGTGGGTAGTGAGGGATGGAGCTAGAAGGGGCAACAGAGAAGTTTCTGGGTTTGATGGCACTCTTCTCATCTTTGATAAAGGTCTGTATTACACAGCTGTATTTTTGTCAAAACTCGTCAAATGGTATATTCAAGATGTGCATTTTGCTGTTATGTAAATTTTACCCAATTTTAAAGAAATATTTAAACTGTTAAACTAATGATATGTGCATACTGAAGTCGGAGGGGTAAAGTGTTCTGGTGTCTCCAACTTACTCTGAAATACACAGAATAAAAATTGATGAATGAATAGAGCAATTACAAGTAAAGCAAAATGTTAACCGGTTACTGAATCCAGGTGAGGGTACAATTCTTTCACACCCTCTGTATGTTTGAAAATGTTAAACCTGAGTGGCAAGAGGGACAGCACTGATTACTTGATTACGGTACCTTCCATTATCACCTATGACCATCAGGAGCCTATATCTTTCCCACTAAGTCTTCAGGGCTTATTTGCCTTCATAACCAGCATCTGCACTCTCCTATATTTGTAAAAGAAATCAAAGGGTTGGTAGGGCTCTGCCCTATAACCATTCGCTGTATTTCTGCCAGGCTTATCTAAAACAACCTTTCCTCATCACATATCGACTCTCTCCCTTGAGCCTTCATGTTCCCATCCAAGCAAGAGAGTCTCAAGGGTGGAAACACGACAGGACACAAAATATCTTAATGTGTCCACGATGCAATCACAAAATCCACTTAAATCTGCTGAAATATCATGGGGCCTTTAACAGTGCGCCAGACCTTTTCAGGTTGCCGAATCAGTAGCTTAGCCTAAGAAACACACGTTTTCCAAATACACACTGTAAAAGGCTGTTAAAACACCACCGTTGGTGGAAATTGTCAGCCGCTCAGTCGTGTCCGACTCTTTGCGACGCCACGGACTGTAGCCCGGCAGGCTCCTCTGTCCATAGGGATTCTCCAGGCAAGAATGCTGGAGTGGGTTGCCATTCCCTTCTCCAGGGGGTCTTCCCAACTCAGGGATCGAACCTGGGTTCCCTGCATTGCAAGGCAGATTCTTTACCCGTCTGAGCCACCAGGTAAGTACTGAAACACCACCGTTAACTGCCAAAATAGTACTTGATAAGCCACCCAAGCCTACTGCTCTCCCTCTCTCGGCCCAGGAATCGTGGCGCGGACTGGAAAACGAAGCCATGGTGACTAATCCTTGGGCTCCAGGAGGCGGCCCGGGGTGAGTGAAGGCGACTCGGCCCAATCGCCAGCGCCGCAAGGGGCGGGGCGGTAGCCCCGAGGCTTCCAGAAGGGGCCAAAGGCCTCTAGCTCGCTACCTGACACCGGGGCTTCCCCGCCACCGGGCCCCTTGGCGGCGTCAACTTTCCTCCGGCAGCGAGGGGAGGGCCGCGTTCTCCGCACCCTCAGGCACCCGTCCTCCCCCGGCAGCTGTCACAGGAGGCCGGCGCCGGGCCCGCCCCGCTCCATTCATAACCTAAGGCCGCAGCGGTTGCAGACGGTCGCGCCGCCCGCCCGGGATCCCGAGACGAAGGCGCAGCGCGGCGCCGCTCAGAGCCGGGCGGCGGCACCAGGGCCCCTCGGGGCTGCAGCCCGGCCCCCTCCCCGGAAACAGCAATGCACCACGGGAGCGGGGTGGGGGCCGCCTGCTGACGGGAGGCGACGCCGAGCCCCGCGGCGGCGAGACCCCCGAGCGCGCCCCCCAGTCCACACACAGACACACACGCACACGCCCCCTCGCCCCAACCGCGGCCGATCAGGGCTCGGCTCGGCGGCCACCCGAGGCGCCCCAGCCCGCCGCGCCGCACGGGTCGCTACTCACGTGAGATAACGGCCCAAAGAGTCGGGTAAAGCGTCTTCTCTTTTTCGGCGGAATTTTTAAAGAGGGATGTGGTTACCTTGAGCAGAAATACCCAAGGCGGCCTGGGCCATAGGCTGCAGGGACGACGTGGGGGGGAAAGCGCGGCACCGACACCAGCTGTGCAACAGCGGCGGCGGCGGCCGAGGGAGAGAAATGGAACAACGGCGCGGGCAGAGGAAGAAGAAAGACGAGAGGGCTGGGTGCGGAGAGGATTCGGCCTCGTCACACCGCAGAGCTAGAGAGCGAGAAAGGATGAGAAGAGGCAGAGAAGGCGAAGAAAAAAAAAGAAAAGAACGAAACACACGACAACCCAGCGAAGAGCCAGCGAGTGTGGAAGGCGGCGCCGGCGACGCTAGGCTTTATATCGAGGGGCGGAGCTTGTGACGTCACAGCCGGCCGGGCCGCCGCACAATCCGGACGGCGCGGGGCCGCGGCGCGGAGAGGAGGGAAGCGGGCGGAAGAGAGAGAGGGCCGGCGTGGGGCGAAAGGGTGAAAGAGGGCGGCCACCCCCGGAGCTTCCCGCCCCCGCCCCCGCCCCCTCCTCGAGAGCTCTCCGCTTTGTGCGGGCTCTGTAGGCTACGCCTGGGGACTGCCCTCCCGGGGTGAAGCTTCAGCCCCCGCGGGATGCGGCGCTCCTTTTTTTTTGGAAGCGAGTTTCTAAGGGCCAGAACGGCTCGGCCCAGTGTTCGGGTGGTTGCAGGGGCTTGTGACCGCGTGGGCCTGTCCCCAGTGTTCGCACGTTGCAGTGTGGTGCAGTAGGAATTTTTTTTTTTTTTTTAAAGGAGTGTGGCTTTTACGTCTTTATTTTTACAAGGGGTGAGGTCGGCCGACCTGGTGTTTATTCATGAAGGACATGTATTGGAGAGGGCATTACCGACGTTAGACGGGCACAGTACTTTAATTCCCTCCGTCTCATTGCGCGGTCATTTTAATTTTACTACTCCAGAGCAAACTTATTTTTACTGGGGAACCTAGGACGACCTACATGGCTTTTAATTCTCATGTTTTTAAAATGTCTTCGCGCTCTCCCATCAGAAACCCCGAGTTCCTCCCGTGCTAACGCCTTGCAGCTCAGACGCAACGGCACGAATGAAATGTATATTGACACACACTCCAAAATCTTTGCGATGAAGAATGAGACTTTTTTCCACTGGCATTTCTCGACCATATGTTTACTTTGTAGCACTGTGGTTGCTACAAATCAGATATGAAAGGAAAAGAGAGCTTTCTTGGGTAAGAAGATAGCAATGCTGAATATAGGCTCTGAGGTGAAAGTATTAGGTAAAAACCAGGGGTTGTGGACTCTATTCCTGATTTCATATTTCCATATTAAACTGTGCTGTCTCTTGGTTTTTTCTTTCATTCCTTAAAAATTCTTTTCGTTTCAGAACATTTACAAGCACAGCACTTTACCAGACCCCCTGCTGGAGGGAGGAAGGCTAGAAATGAATACCCTTGAAGTCTTGAAAACAGTCTAGCAGTGGAAATAAGACAACTACACCAAATAACTAAGTTATTGTTGTAAGCAGATAAAATGCTGTGTGGAATCTAGTGGAAGGGGGAAATAACCGCAGCTCAGTGAGAGAAAGGCTACTGGGGAAAGGTAGAGACAGATTTTGAGAGCAGACACTCCAGACAAGGGAAATAAGTGACTTTGAGAGCAGATATTCCAGGCAGCGGAACTACTTGAGAAGGCACAGAAATGGGCCAGTTCAAAGAACTGTGAACTAGCTTTCTGGCTCCAACATAGGTACCGTTGCAAATGAGATTGAAAAGGAGGGTGAGGTGAAACGTAGGCATCATAGCTTGAACTTCATTTTGGAACCATTTAATCGGGGACATGATATTTTAAAAAGATTTCTCTAGCATCAATGTGATTGAAAATAGAAAGTTTGGAAGAGAGGAAACCATGAAGGTGACTGTTACATAGTTAAGAGAAGCAGGAAATTTGGAATAGAGGAGAGAAAGGCATAGATGAAGGCATAGAAAGAGTAGGGATAAATTTGAATGTTAAGGGAGAGGAAAGAAAGAAAGTGAAGTTCCTCAGTCGCGACCCCAGGGGCTGTAGCCTACCAGGCTCCTCCATCCATGGGGTTTTCCAGGCAAGCGTACTGGAGTGGGTTGCCATTCCCTTCTCCAGAGGATCTTCCCAACCCAGGGATCGAACCCGGGTCTCCCGCATTGTAGGCAGACGCTTTACCGTCTGAGCCACCAGGGAAATATGATTTGGTGATATGAAACTAATCAACAGGGAGAATTATGAAATCACAAATGGAGAGAGAATGTCCCAGTTTAGGGAAAGACTATGAGCCTTCCTTGAGCATAGTCCAAGCTGTCGATAGGATATTCATGTAAAAATGGTCCAAAGGCCCCTGAAAACACAGATCTGGAGCCCTTTTGGCTGTAAATTTGGGACCCTCTCCTATGGACATGGTAATTAAGGAAATGTTAATTAAGGAAATGTTAAGGTCTAAAGGAAAAGGGATCTAAGCACAGGATTTAAAGAAATGCCAGAGAGGAGAGAAAGAGGACCAGCCCAAGGAGTAGGAGAAGAATCACAATAGTGTGAGGACAAGCCATTCACGGAGGGTGTTCCAAGATGGAATGAATGATCGGAATGTCATCTTCCTGAAAGGGATTCTTCTGATTTGGGAAAATGGCATGTCATCGGTAAACTCCACACTCAGGCTAAGAAGTTTGGATCCTTAGCCAAAAATATTTCAATCATAAGGGTGAGTTGAATTTTAGAAAAGGGGAGAGTGTGAGGGTGAGAAAAGGGACTATATATTTGTGGCAGGAAGAACACTTGGAAAGCTATTATAAGGAGAATGATAAGGGCCTGAAAAGAAGTTATGCGTGACCTTTAACTGAATAATTTCAGTGGAGTGAGAGACACAGAACATGGCAGAGGTTTGAGTCAAGAGAAGCTGAGATGAAGTCAGCGAATGTCCACTCTTTCAGCTGGAGTAGACCCTACTCCATCATTGTTTATACAGTGAAGCAGCTCAACAATTTATTATTCAAACCATGTACTCGCTCAATTAGTATTTGTGTATTCAAATCTAAATCATACTAGCTTTTATTGCATACAACAGAGCCTTAAAAACTGTCCTGCAACGAACTAGACAGCATAGTAGGTAACTTTAACAGAATGATAGCTGCCTAATGAGAACAGCATGTTTAATTGTGTTTTGGGTTTGAGGTTTGAGGTTTTTTGCCAAGTCAGGTTACTCATACACAAATCACAGGTAGTGCCAGAGAAAGTATTATTTTTAAATAGAGAGCCTTAAGATAAAATAATACCATTCACACTTAGATCATCCTGGTTTATTGATTCAGACTTGTTTGCTTTTGTGCCAACAGATGTAAAAGACTGAATGAATTAGATCGTTGATAAAGACAAGTCACTCAAAAAACAATGGGTAACCCTAAAATTACCAGCCTATAATAGAAATATCTTGTAGTCACCTATATAAATGTGACAAACAGTCCAATGGTAATTGAGCATGAAAATCATAGTTTAATGGGAATGTTTGAAAAGAGCTTAGTAAGAATTTTTATTGTGATACCATGCAGGGCCCTGTGGAGCACCTGGGCACAGAGCCTTTCTGGGTCCCTCATTTCTTTGATTATGGAAAACAGCTTTCATTTAGCCTCCATGACCTTGCCTTAGTGTGCAGTGGGCAGATTCAAGCTGTTGTTAATTAAGGAAGGGAGGGGATGCAAGACCAGGAAGAAATAGTCAAGAGTAGCCTTGGGACAAGTTCCTGCTTTCCCATCAATGGATATGAGTGAGTGAGTGAGTGAGTGAGTGAATGAAAGTCACTGTGGTGTCCGACTCTTCGAAACCCCAGGGACTATACAGTCCATGGAATTCTCCAGGCCAGAATACTGGAGTGGGTAGCATTTCCCTTCTCCAGGGGATCTCCCAGGGATCAACCCAGGTCCCTCACATTGCAGGTTGATTGTTTACCAGCTGAGCCACAAGGGAAACCCATCAATGGATATACACAGCAATTTCTTCTTTTTGTAGATACTGAAACCCCTTCCAGGAGGCAGAAGTTACGGATCAGTGATGGTATGCTGACCCAAAGCATGTAAACCCCAGACCTGTTGGACTTGAAGGTGGATGATGCCGACTCCTAGTTAGCTCACTACCAACCCATCAGAAGAATGTCCACAAGCTGATCATGCCCTCTTTGAACAATTACTATAAAACTCATCACTATTTTCCCCAAATTGGGACACTTAGTTTGGCGGGCATGAGCCCACTGTGCCTCTTTACCTGGCAAAGCAATAAAGCTAGCTTTTCTGCTTCACCCAAAACTCTGTCTCTGAGATTTGATTCGGCATCACTGTACAGAGAGGCTGAGCTTTCATCACCAACTGCTAAGAAACATTCTTAGAGTACACTTTATTTTATAGAAAACCAAAATATATAGGTTTAGAATAGTTAAAACATTCACACTTTAAGACGTCATATTTCAGTTGTCTACCACATCTTTTTGTACACTGATGATCTTCCGTAAAAGCAACTTGCTTATCAAGAATCTGGCACTGTGTCTTTTATAGACTAGTAAAAATCCAAAATCACGGCAGATGGTGACTGCAGCCATGAAATTAAAAGACACCTGCTCCTTGGAAGAAAAGCTATGACCAACCTAGACAGCATATTAAAAAGCAGAGGCATTACTCTGCCAACAAAGGTTCAATAGTCAAAGCTATGGTTTTTCCAGTAGTCATGTATGGATGTGAGAGTTGGACTATAAAGAAAGCTGAGCACTGAAGAATTGATACTTTTGAACTGTGGTGTTGGAGAAGACTCTTGAGAGTTCCTTGGACTGCAAGGAGATCAAACCAGTCAATCCTAAAGGAAATCAGTCCTGAATATTCACTGGAAGGACTGATGCTGAAGCTGAAACTCCTATACTTTGGCCACCTGATGCAAAGAACTGACTCAGAAAAGACCCTGATGCTGGGAAAGATTGAAGGTAGGAGGAGAAGGGGATGACAGAGGATAAGATGGTTGGATGGCATCACCGACTCAATGGACATGAGTTTGAGCAAGCTCTGGGAGTTGGTGATGGGCAGGGAAGCCTGGTGTGCTGCAGACCATGGGGTCTCAAAGAGTTGGACATGTCTGAGCGACTGAACTGAGTGAACTAAACTGAAAAATGAGTAATAATCATTTACTTGCTTTGTAAATTACTTTGGGAAGACAGAGTTCAGATTACATACCATTCTCTCTTCAAATAGAATTGATATATGCTATCCTTTATTTGCTAAGTATCTGTTGTTATAATCTCTTAAGAGTTGTAATTCCTTTACCTAGGTTGATTTTCACCTCAAATATGGAATCACTTAATTTGGAAGGAGACTTTATTGTCATGTTTTTGTTTTCTCACAAAATTTAGGAATCAGGTCAGTAGGGTTTTGTGGCATCCCAAAACAGGCATCCTGCATTCCAGCACTGGTATCTTTCATATCACCCATGTCTTTGTCCTTTGAGTTTCTCCAGTGGCTCAGAAGTAAAGAATTCACCTGCAGTGCAGAAGCCAAAGGTTCTATCCCTGGGTCAGGAGGATCCCCTGGAGGAGGACATGGTAACCCACCCCAGTATTCTTGCCTGGAGAATCCCATGGACACAGGAGCCTGGCGGGCTACGGTTCAGAGAGTCGCAAAGAGTTGGAGGGGACTGAAGCGACTTAGCACACACGTGCGTATCTTTGTCCACAGGATAATTTGAACTATACAGTGGTAAGCCTGGAAAGCAAAGGATGATAGAGTCCAGACACAAACCCAGTTTAAGAGAAAAGAGTTTCTTTCTATTTTCATGTCAGTGGCTATGTATGTTATTAGATACAGGTCAGTGTATCTCCCAAGTGATTCTGGGTGGTTTCTAAGATAAACAAGTCATAAAGTGTACACTAACATCTTTTATTACTTTGAGAAATAGCAAACTATTCACTGTTAATTTAAGAGGACTGTTTTGAAACCCATATTAAAGGGCAAAGCAGTAATCCAGTTTTACAAATTAAATGTAACACACATGACTAGAATAATCAATGGGCTGACACATAAGTTTGCTCCCTCATATCTTCCTCTAATCTTTGGGAGTTAGGAAATCCTTGGAAAATTAATCTCATTTTCACTTTGTTATCTGATAAGTGTTTTGTTTGTTGGGTAATACATAGCAAGATAGGCTTGTATCTAGCTCTCTGTCTCAAAACAACTGCCTGGCAGATCTCCTCAACTTTTTGGTTCAGGTCATAGAAAATAGGAGCTCTGAAATCTATTTTTGTCCAATTTAAATTATGATATGCTCTATTTTTTTAAATAAATAGCCTAGGTGCTGCCACATAAGCACATAAATGATTGTTAATAGTGGTAACTGCAGGCTACATTTTGTTCCTTTGTCATTTAATTTGAAGTTTTGCAAGTTCTGTGATAAAGATCTGTAGCTATTTAAATTCACTGTACCTAACATTAATGAAAAGGAGAAAAACTCATGCCATAAAGACAAAAAAGAGATTAGTTGCTTCTTTACTAAAATAGGGAGAAGGAACATAAATGGTTTGATTTCACAAAAATAACTAATATTTTTGTGTCATTCAACCGTCTGTAACAACCTTCATTGTTGGTAGTAGTAATTTGAAAACCTTCTTTCATCTTGGTCCTTCTTAGCTAAGTCATTTAATTTTAAGCCACTGCTTTTATTTATTTTTTTTTTATCTTTTGGCTACACTGAATGGCTTGCAGGATCTTAGTTCCCTGATCAGGGTTAGAAGCCATGCTCTTGTGCCCATAGGGTCCTAACCACTGGGCCACCAGGGAAGCCCTGCTGAAACCATTTACCATAGACTGGGACTTGAACCCATGTGCTGGGACTTGAACCCACGTGGCTGGCACTCAAACCCAGGCAAAATCCACAGTACCTGGTTTCAGGACCTATTGAAGCTCAGGTTCTTGATGTTTCATCACAGGAAGAATTTAGTGAGAGACAACGTGATAGGTAAGAAGTGGATTTATTTAGATTCAGAGAGAGGCACACTCCAGACAGTGTGGGCCATTTCAGAGGGCAAGCGCGGCTGTGAAATGTGGTGTGGTTAGTTTTTATAGGCTGGGTAATTTCATATGCTAATGACTTGGAGGATTATTCCAACTATTTTGGGGGAGGGGTGGAGATTTCCAGGATTTTGGCCACCACCCACTCCTTGGTCTTTTAACAGTGCCTTGGAACTGTCTTGGTGCCTCTGGGTGTGTCATTTCACTTGCTGACTGAGGATCAAGGTCTAGTCTTGTCTTCCATCTTTGTCCCATTAGCTTCTAATCAGTTTATGCTGTGTCCTTGGGCTGTGTCATTCTTTCGAAAGTTGTGCCCTGCCCTCTTCCCTCCTGTTACACCACCTCCACTGCTTATAGAAAATGTATTCCTCATTCCTTTGGGAGAACATCTTACCTGCCATACCCTGAGCTCTGCTGGGCACTGCTATCTTTTCAACCCTCTGACTTCCTGGGACGCAGTAACTGGTTTACAGGTTGATAGCTTCTCACCCTATCTTGGTTGTAGAGGCAGCTCAATAACGATTGGTACATATTTGATTCAGACCTTGGTTGGAAGGAGGAGGAGTGGATGGGGAATCATTTCTTCTGTTGTCATCTCATGACAATATGAACCAGGAGCTGCTGGCACAAAGGTCCCTGGGAGAAAATGAAGCCACTGCTCATTTTGAAAAAGGAATAGTCAACAATCTAGTTGTCCCATTTTTCTTGTTCTTCAGCTATACCAACAGAAAAATTTGTTTTTCTTACTTAAGTTAGTTCCAACTAGTTTTCTCTTACTTGCAACCAAGAATCCTGGCCTACACAAAAGAATGAAAAGAAAAGATCTTCATTTTGAGTCCAAATATCAATTGCATAAGTACAAGACAGGAGAGACCTGATTGTTGATTATCTAAATATTACCTAAAAAAAGAAAAAGAAATACTACCTAGAAAAGATAGTTGACCACAGCTGGCCATGAACCAATAAGGCATGTGTGGAATTGCTAAAAACAAACCCCAAACCAAAAACACTTGAATACAGTAATTTGGGACATTCAATAAATTAATGCATTGACAAATTACAGGTCAAAGGAAGGTAACAGTTTGGTTTACTGTTTTGGTCAGAAAGTAGTAAATTTGGGAAGGGAAACTTTTACTGTTGTAAAGTTCTAGTTAGCACATTATACAAGAGAATGAAAACTAGATAGTTTGGAGGATAACAAAAAAGATGGAGGGTTCCCAGGTGTTGCTAGTGGTAAAAAAAAACCCACCTGCCAATGCAGGAGTCATCAGAGATGCCGGTTCAGTCCCTGGGTCAGGAAGATCCCCTGGAGGAGAGCCTGGCAACACACTCCAGTATTCTTGCCTGGAGAACCCCATGGACAGAGGAGCCTGGCAGGCTGCAGTCCATAGGGTTGCAAAGAGTCGGACCCGACTGAAGCGATCCAGCACAGCACAGCACAGCCATAAAGATGAGGAGGTCTAGAAAACAAGATACTAATAGGAGTGATAAAAATGTTAGCCATAATTTGGGGGAACTCCAGAGAGACCCCAAGTCTTTTGTGCCAAGTGAGGATGCAAGAAGTCTGCCCCTTGAAACAGAGCCATCAGCCAGCCATGTTGGCACGCTGATCTGAGACTTCCAACCTTCAGCACTGTGAAAAATAAAGTTCTATTTCTTGTCCATTTTATGATATTCTTTTATTAACAGTCCCCATGGAATTAACCTAACATTTTCTATAAATCTGTTCTGAGCCAGGCATTGTATAAGCATTAAATTTAATATTCACATATAGTTTAAAAATGGGGGAAAAATCAGAGGGAAATTGGAAAAACATAAAAGCAGAAAGCTACGATTTTTTTATACACCGGGTGCCAGGCACTATTCTAAAGTCCCTTATATTATCATTTAATTCTTCAATAGGTTTGTCAGGTAGGTCTTACTGTGCCCATTTTACAAATTAAAAACCGAAGTACAGGGACCTCTCTGGTGGTCCAGTGGCTAAGAATACACCTTACGATGAGGGAATGCAGGTTCCATCCCTGGTCAGGGAACTAAGGTCCCACATTCCGAGGGGCAATCGAGCCCCCAGGCCACAACTAGAGAGAACGAGCCACAACAAAAGTCCCACGTGCTGCAACTGAGACCCAACACAGACTAAATAAATAACTAAATATTTAAAAAATAACAAACACCGGAAGTACAGTGAGGTTATGTAACTTGCTCAAGGTGACCCAGCTAAAAAAGAAAAGGTTCAGCTTCATATCCGAAGATGTCTAATG